CACTTTTTCCTTCCACTCAACTTTCTGTTAACATGCTTGGATACAGCACTCTGTGAACAGCCAGCTTCTTTGGCAATGAATGTTTGTGGCTTACCCTCCTTGTGAAGGGTGTCAATGATTGTCTTCTGGACAACTGTCAGATCAGCAGTCTTCCCCATGATTGTGTAGCCTAGTGAACCAAACTGAGAGACCATTTTTAAGGCTCAGGAAACCTTTGCAGGTGTTTTGAGTTGATTAGCTGATTGGCATGTCACCATATTCTAATTTGTTGAGATAGTGAATTGGTGGGTTTTTGTTAAATGTGAGCCAAAATCATCACAATTAAAAGAACCAAAGACTTAAACTACTTCAGTCTGTGTGCATTGAATTTATTTAATACACGAGTTTCACAATTTGAGTTGAATTACTGAAATAAATGAACTTTTCCACGACATTCTAATTTATTGAGATGCACCTGTATTATAAGCCTAAGTAGATCCAAAAAACCATTGGCCTCTCTCCCAGATCGCTTTTGAGAACTGGTTCAATAGATTCACTGAAAGATTGGACTCAAATCAATTTCTTGAGCTTCATCCAAACGCAGTGTCTATATTGTCTTACGAATGGAAATGTTTCTCTTGAATGCTATTTCTGAGAGTTACTTAAGAGAAAGGACTAATTTTCCGTTTTACAAAACATAAGTCAAAAATATTCTGTAAAGACAATTGTGCAAACATGAAACTAGTATTTTTTTTCTTTTTAATTGCAAATCTGGCTCCCTCTAGTGGCCAAATTAAGTTTACATTGTTCCAAACAGAATTCTCAACACTTTATTACATTTTAAGTTTTATAAGTGACGTGACATGTGGCCAAGTATGGCTACCCATACTCAGAATTAGTGCTCTGCATTTATCCCCTCCTAAGTGCACACACACAGCAGTGAACACACACCCGGAGCAGTGGGCAGCCATTTTTGCTGCGGCGCCCGGGGAGCAGTTGGGGGTTAGGTGCCTTGGTCAAGGGCACCTCAGTCGTGGTATTGAAGGTGGGAGAGAGCGCTGTACATTCACTCCCCCCACCTACAATCCCTGCCGGACCGGAGACTCGAACTCGCAACCATATTATATATATATAAAAAAAAACTAAGAACATCTAAACATCTTTCTTTTAAATATTATGTTATGACCTAAGCAACACACAGAAGCAAATCATCATTACAAAAAGTTTTATTAATGGTTGACTGGATGTGTCCAATTAGCATATTTACAGACATTATCTACACACTGAAATGAGCAGTTGGACAAAAACCTGAAGTGGAGTTAAGACAGACAGACAGACAAGAGCACAAAGATCGAGAAAATGAGACTGAGCCAAAGTTGAGTCTGTACATGCTGTCTTTAAGAACTCTAGATTCAGCCCACAGAGCCTGGTAAAGTAGGGTGACCATACGTGCCATTTTCCCAGGACGCGTCCTGGCCAGGATTTCTATATTGCCTAAAATATCTAGGTTTTGGCTTTGTTTGCGTGTGCAGACCGGTCGGTGTATGACATCAAAATACCATACAGATGGTTATGCTTCCAGGACGCGTCCTGGGAAAATGGCACGTATGGTCACCCTATGGTAAAGCTAATACCAAACTACCATGGTTTAAGTGTGCCCATTTATCTACCAATCATACGAAATGGCTTAGATGGTCACAGAATTGTGAATCCATTGAACTGGAAACCACAGCATACAGAGTAGTAAAATGCATTTTCCCAAAACATCTATTGAAATAATTTCTGATATGCAGAATGAAATTCTGCAGATGACAGACTTCAGTCTTATACTTGGCTTTAGGACGATTCTTCATCAATCTTGGGTGCCAGGTAGTATTTGACGTGCCCCATGTCTGCAATCTTGTACTCAACCACTGCAGAAGGAAAAAAGACAGTCAATCACTTAAATTGCTTGAACTCAAAAGGCAATTTAATATGGGCGTGTAAGCATGTTCCTTACCTAGTGGAATGTCTGCGGACATGCTGAGTGTGACGGTCTTGGACAGAGGAGTGGCCTTGGTGAAGAAGTTCAGGTAGTTCAAAGCAAAAATAAGCTGCACCGGCTCATTCATCTCAATTGTCACCTGTAGGGAACACAGTGTTGTGAATTTCCTTCATAACAAACAACTGCCACACCTGACTTTTGTTTGTAATGTTGCCAGTGTTAAAAGAATGTTACCGCTTCGTCCTCCTTGTCGACATTGCTGGTCTGTGAGAGCTTGATGTTGCCTGTGCCCAGCTCTCCGCTGGCAGAGAACTTCACACCATCCTTGGCGCAAGAGATCATGACAGCATCACCAATCTGTGACAGATCCCTGCAGATACGGGCAAATTCACCAGAGGGCATCTTCACCACACAGCTGTATTCCTGCTCCTGAAGTGAAAAACAGAACGGGACATGATCATTTGAGAAAAAAGCAACAAAAAAAAAAACATGCACATTCATATCAGAATTTGTAAAATAAGTTTTACTGGAATGCCAAGCTGCTCCACATCCAGATCCATCAGTTTCATCTCGTAGTCAGACACCTTCTCCTGATCTGAAAACACATTTGAAGGTCAGCAAGTGCTCTTACTATTATATTTTATAGCACACTATCAATATAAACATATAGCCAGAAAAAAAATAGATATGGCTTATGTACATTGGAATTCTTATTCCTAGTTTGAGGTTAAACATGTAACAAATAAAGTGTAACTAAGTATTATATACTCACTGAGTGTTTCAAAGACAAGTGCCAAAGAGTCTGCATTGTCTTCTGCCCTAAGTGTGATTATATCTTCATTTCCAGCACACTTCAGAATCTTTGACATGCTAGAAAACAAGAAAAAAAATTCGAATAAAAATACTCCGTTTTGGGCACTTTTTATTGAAACATGCATTCACGCTTTAAAAAAAACACAATTTCCATTTTAAAACATTATATTTAGTTATTATTCCCATGACTCTTTGACTGTCATTTTAAATTTTGGTTTACGTCTCTTTTGACCAAGTTTTTATTGTCTAACTGCAAAGCCATATCGTCATTCAGCAACCCGGTTATTTTTCGCGCCAACCAGCTTGAGCGCGGGTAAATGACGTCACGTTCAATAGTGAGGGGAGAATGCAGGAAACGCTCTACGCGCCAAATA